AGAAACACCAATGAATTTCAGCAGTGTATACTGTACTGATAGATACACCGAAGCTCATCTCGTCTGGCTTCCAACACGATGAGTAGGCTTAGCAGCTTAAACATAGACTGATAAGAAGCCTACATAATGATCGTGTGCATTGATGGGTTGCAGGAGCAGATGAGATGGTAAAGGAAGCGGTGGGAAGTATGATATAATGACATACCCTTTTTACGATTGGATTTTTGCTACATTCCTCGCTTCTTTTTGAAACAAGCATAACATGATGAATTATTAACGTTTTATTCTTGTATAATTTCAAATTTACAGATAGAATTATATGAATTTTAATACTTTGTGTCTCTCACCTTTTTTGTTCCATTTTTCTTATTAATTCATTCAGATTCTACTTTATCTTCAATCTACATTAGATGATGAAATAACCGGTGGGGATACCAGATGTTTTAACGATTTTTAGAAATAACCTGACAATAAGTAACTTGAATCATGCCTAAAAAGTAATCTTTTACAAATTACGTGGCTTTATTCTATATTTCTTATTTAATGTGGAAGTGAATAATACAGCAATTCCACTTGAAGACTCTGTAAAGTTAGTCCCTATTCTAATCTCGGGTAAAGGAAGATGGTTGGACAGATGGTTAGTAACTTTACTTCCTAAAGCGTAACCCTGCTGCGGAAACGATATTCAGAGGGAACCTGTTACGCTCACTTATGGAGGTTGAGAAGTATTCATGTATAAGTGTTTCGACGCGTCATGGTGAAAATCTTGAGTCTCCGAAAACCATAAAGCCGATGCTCCTCTAGACAACCTGTTGTTTTAATCCGGTCATGAATAATAACCTCCCAACATGCACAAGGAGTTTCATTAATGCTGTCCGAAGAATCAAGAAAAGCACTTATAGTATGAAAAACTCATGCCTTACGAACCATTAGAGCATCCTTCAAAGCAAAGAAGGAAAAGATTACGATGAACGTCATCCAGTGATATACACCTATCAATGACAGCGAAGATGATAAATATCACTTTTATAAGAGGCTGCAGTTCGACATAGATAAACAGTCAGAAAAGGATCTGAATATCCTCATAGTGATCCTAAACGTCTAGGTTGGATGGACAATATCGAGTATGACTGCATTATGAGGTGACATAAAGTGGGATCAAGAAATGAGAATGGTGAGGAGCTGGTAAATCTTTAAAAAAGTCATAGAAGACAGCATTTTCTCCCATAAACTCATACACAAAACTGCATGAGTTTTTACCGAACCAGATTATAACAAGCTCATTCAGTCCAAGATAGATCTCGGCAACAAGTTACAAGCCTTACGTGATCTATCAAAAAACAAAGGAATCTACTGTAGAGGACAACTAGAAAGGAATTAACAAAGCAATAACTTCAAAATGTCAAGAGTGCTGTGCCTCAAGAAACACCATGGATCTCCGTAAACAACCTGTCCATGATTCTGGGAAGCAAACAAGGAGATAGTTGTGGTTGATAGTCACGCAACCTTATCAACAGTGTATTTTTAAACCAAATGAAAGATTCAGTAGACGCCCGAATTCGAAATGAAGAGGCTGGATTCCGAAGGAGTCGGTCGTGTACAGACCAGACCACGACACTATGGATCATTGTTGAGCAGTCAGTTGAATAGAACTAGCCACTAAACATCAGCTTACTTGACTACGAGGAAGCATTTGACAGCATGGATATAAGGACCTTATAGAACCGTCTTCGATACTATGGAGTACCTAGAAAGAATGTTATTATCATACAAAATCAATACAGTAGACTACATTGCAAAGAAGTGCATGGAGGCCAACTCATAGATGAATTCCAAGTAGAGACTGGTATCAGATAAGGTTATCTATTGTAACATTTTCTCTTCCTGCTAGCTGACGGCTGAATTACGAAGACCTCCACACTTTACAAGAAGCACGGGACATGGTGGATATCTTTAATTCAGCTGCATCATTTCGACATGGAGATCACAGCGCTCAGCTGTCGCATACAAACTAATAACATTATATGCATTTTTAACAGCTTTCGACACAAGAATTACCACATCCATTGGCAAAACATTATAAGCCATAACCACCTCAGGTAGAGGACAAATGAACTACCAATTGAAGAGGAAATTAAGATAAGACACTGGCGATAGATAGTACATACTATATATCACAGAACGAGCCCTAACTTGGAATCTTCAATTCACAAGGATAAGATTCAGACCAAAGAACACAGCTCCGTGAATCAGATCAGGACATGATTATCAATTGAAATCAACTGAAAAGGAATGCCCAGGATACAGTTATTCGAAAATACATAGTCGGTGGTCTTTGTTCCATGATGGGTACCAGGCTCATATAATAGTAGTACAATAATATAGCAGTCAAACATGTTTGTTATTATAATAACTGTTGTTACTGCTGTTATTTAAGTTTCAAATAAGCAGAGTGATATGATATATACATAATGCCTTCATCTGTCCCTTTTTCATCCACCAAACTAGTGACTACCTTCACTAAATTCACATACAAAGATCGTTGCGGCAAGGCAAATAATAGTAGCGATTATACAAGTAGACCGCAGACTGATTGAGATGCTAATATAAACACTCAATAATCATATGAACGTCAGTCAATTGAACCTTAGCGAAGAGCTTTCAAAATTTGTACTCCAATCGATATTTAAGGAGATATTTCATGTGGTCAACGCGCTTATGTCTTTTTAAAAGAGTTTTTACTTCTTTTGGAATACCTTTCTGAAGCTGACTCACACTGTGATGTGCTATCAGCAACCTCATTTTCTTAAGCTGATTGATGCAGTATCTTATCATGGCCTTCTTTTTAACTAAATCTTATTCCACTTTCATGGAGCCGTTTTCTGCTTTGAAAATTTTTTAAAAAAGTAAACTGATGATCATGATGAGATAATCGAAAATTGAACATTATTGTACCATTTAAATGATTGACCTAAAGTTACGGATGCTTATAGTCATTACTATGATGAAAGTTTCAAATCGATCGGGAAAATAACTGAACTAACCTTTACATTGGACCACTTGATAGTAAATACTAACAACAATTAATTAATAAAGTTCAGTGTATTTTACATTATGTCAATGCACAAATAAGCAGCACAAAATGTTGAACGCAAATTAAAATACAAACTATCAATCAATAATACACAGTATACATGTGAACAAAAGAACCAATGCAAACAACTAAGTTACAAAGTCATTTACAGTCAAGTTGCTTACATAATAAATTTCATTTGGTTAAATTTAACAGCTGTAAACTATAAATAAAGCTAAACAACTGAGACAAGAGTTCGAAACTAGACAGTATAAAATGTGATTTGTAACACTATATATTTTCGATTATGACTGATTAGTATTAATATGTGGAAAAACTAGCCATATAAAATAAATGATTAAATGAAGTGAATAAAATACGCTTAAATTCATTAACCAGTCAGTTTATATGAGAGGTGGAGTAGTTCCAGGCCACATCCAGTTTTATCACGTTTCTATGGTTTAGGTCATAGACATTTGATGATGATAACCTGTGCAAACCCAAGTGACTACGATAATCATTGGTTTTTTAAGATAATTATCTAAAAATAAAGGACTTTTTCCATTTTTATTCAGTTTGTTTGTGCTTATAAAAATAATATTAGTCAGTAAAAAACTTTAAGGTAAATGCTTCTTATGTTTCAGACACATCACTTGGTGATTAAATTATGTTTCGACCAGTAATCACATACCCAGCTAATCAGAAAGGGATAAATTTCCAAGGCAAAGAAACCCTTTATTATCTGGGTTACAAATGAGTTACAGCTTACAACAATTAATTATTTAGACTATCCTATTATTGTCAGTTGACTTGGCTGCATTGACAAAGTTGGAAACTCAAGAATTTCAACTCAGTGTGAACATGATGTATAATCGACGCGATAAAAATCGTTCGAAAAGGCTTTTGTTCTTATGGCTAATAAGTGACAGCCGAAGTTGTGGGTACATGGGGAAATCAATCTTCATGTATGATATAAACTACAAGTGGCTGTACCATGGTGATTATTGGTCACTAATTTATTATGATCCAGTACTCTTTATTCATCTAATGTTTTGTGGACAAAAGCGAACTAGATTCGTTTGTTTCAGTCAGTTACTATATTTGAACATACCATGAATAACCGATTTGCTTAGCACAGTAATAAAAATATATTTATTTTTAGGAGAACAGAATTGTGGAGTTAGTTGAATTTTATATTTTACATTACCGACTGACCTTAGTTAATTAAATTTTGAAAACCAGGAAGTATTGGACGGCTGTTTCGTCATACTATAGGACTCCTCGGCAGTGTACATTGACAACACCGAAGATTAAACCCATGAACCTTAAGTCCTCAGATAGCGCTTAGATCACACAATCGGCTTCCAGCAGTTTATGTATGTTACTTCCAGTGATTCGTGATACCACATATCCATCTTTTAACCCCATTGATGGGTCTTCAATTGTTTTTTACGGACAGTCGATAATGTAATCTAAAAAATAAGTGTATTGATTTATTCTCATTCCGTGAATGCTCGGACAAGTTTAATGTGTAGCTATAAGACAGACTAATTTATTCTTACCATTGCCTAGGGATTTTCCACATCAGACCTACATACACATTTCACACCAAATGGCATATTCACAGTAAAAATTCCATATTCATGGTTTTAACATGATTGGACAATCTTTTTTTACATAGTTGTATTCTGAAGCTTATTTATACTCGATATTTTGATTTTTTTACTATTTCTCTGAAAGAGGTCAAATCAGTCTGTCGAGCTAAACGTTGGAGTTATTTTTAACCCAAATCGCTGAAATCTTTTATATATAGTTTTCTTTTAAAGTATTTTGTTGTAAAGATGTTAATATACATCCTACATGTCATCCAAATGTAATGTTACATATTTTTTTTTGGTCACCCATCTTTTTCGCCTTTTAAAAAAAGAACATTTCAAATGTATTACAAGGAATTCGTGATCGAAACGATTTAGGTCATCCAATTTGTTCACATCTTCGTCAAGGTGATTGGTTAGCCCATTATTTAACTGAACGTTTGGCAAAACTACCACATAATTCTAATAAACTTATCACTAAAGCAATTATTCAAATGAGTGATATTTTAAAAATTATGTATAAACCTCTGTCAAACATTCCAAGATATTTAGTCCCTGCATACTTTGAAGCATTGACTGTTACATTAACAGAATTTATTAAGCTTGAGGTAAGTTCTGCTTCAGTTTCTTATGGTTTATTTTTTGCCGTTTTCGTCATCGTTTTTGTTAGATTATCATTGATTTATAGGAAGATCGTTACTTTCAAATTATGTAAGGCTAAATAGTGTGTTTTCGAGATTACCTTGTTGAAGTTAAATGATAAAATATTTTAGTCATGGTTGAATATGACTGAAAAATTAGTAGTTATTGGATGTTTAAACCACCATAATTTAACCAGAAGTTACAATTTGATCCGTATTATTATTCTCTGACTATTTATCAGTCAATAGTGTTCAACACATACACCACCTTTTGTTTTGGGATGGATAAATTAGGGTATTTCTGAATTACTATTAGTCCTCGGGTTATGAAGAGTTAATATTTACTTAGGGAATTACTTCCTTGTTCAAAACTGGAGTCTCATACTTTTTCAAATTGTCTATTCATACTACAACTGAATGCCTTCTCAAAGTCTTGCTTTAAATGAATTAATCTTTTAATACAACAGTACAACTGACTTACTAGTAAAATAACTAGATTGACTCATGTGGGCGGAATCGATTCCCCAATTTCAACTCGGCTACTGGGTAAACTTTGTGTTTTATCATCATTGAGTAGAAATGTTAGTGTTAAGCTTATCAAATTCTCAAGTCTTTTTATATAGATTGTGTATAACTTACAAATCAATTCTAAACCTAAATCCTAATCAGGAACAGTATGGGGACTTTGTCTCCTTATAAGGACTTTAAAGAAGGAAATTCTATAGCCATATAAAAGAATTAATATGTCGTTGGTTTTTCGATTTAAAGTTGACAATCCTGTTGAAGATTTCATTAATTGTATTATATATATATATATATATATATATATCCCCTTCAAACCACTCATCTACAATAACTAATTTTTGTTTAAAACGGGCTAAAATTTGTCGGGATTGTTTTAAGAATCGCTAAAGCTCGTCACTGTACCGTGCTCTTACCTACATAAAGATCAGATTTACTTACATTTTAGCCATTCATTTCAACTAATTACCTTAAATAAATTATTTCAAACTACTTTAAGTTGCAGATAGAAAAGAGTTGACTTTGTTGGATCGATTGCTTAATATTTTCCTTCATCTTATTTTACCGTTGTGAGGTGATGTACACTTAAATCGGATTCCACGATCTAAAATATGTCTTAATAAAACAGTTCATATATTTTCATAAAATCGAAATTCTGATTGTTGTTTTCCGCTTAACCAATGTCACATACCACATTAAATGCATAGCTTTTATCCTGTTTTTCGTCCAATTTTGTTTTCCTAAATTTTCTATTGATCAATACAAACATTTACAAACTATGATCCCTTCTATTTTATACAGCTGAGAAACTAAAATAGAAATGTCAACAAAGTTGATGCATTTAGTCACTTTATTTACCAAATACTCAAATAACTAGTACTTTTTCTTCATTTTAATTTTTTTAGATTACATTACGATTTGCACCTTGGATAAGAAGTAGCTCATCACTTGCAAAAAATCTAGCAGTAGCTACTACTCAATTTTACGGTTTTATTGGAAATAGTCGTCTTCCTGGACGTGTCATCCAATTTAATAAAGATTCTCAAAATCCAGAAATCGAAGCAATGTTTTGTAGTTTAGCTGCAGGTTTACCACATTTTGCCGAAGGGATGTGGCGTTCTTGGGGAAGGGATACTTTTATTTCACTCCGAGGTTGTCTTCTTCTAACAGGACGTTACCAAGTAAGCCAAAAATGTAGTAGTTCGTCTCCTATACGAAGTTAAAATCTTGAATATTTTTAAAATTGACATTATTGAATTCTTATAATTAAAATTCAGAGTCTCTCACTCTTGTTGTGTTTCCGTAATCACAATCCTACATTTCAAGACCACCAAAGAAACGTATATTTTTGCGTGTGCAATTAACTTGTACCTTAAATGCTAGAAGACATTGTTCGCTTGCACGTTATCCATATTTTTCTTTAAAAAATATTGGTCGCATATGATAGTTTTAACTTAGTTCAAAGTTGTAGGTGACGAATTAACAACAAATGACGTGATTTCGAACTTCGGTAGATACATGTGGCTGGTTCATCTGCTTAGCTAGTATAGCAGCTACCAATTTTCGCTTGATATAATTACGCGGTTACCTTAGTAAGACTTAAGATCAGAAGATGATGCCACTGACTGTAAGTTTGTACTCAGAACGCTTCTTAATTCAGGTCCACAATACAACATGAACTGATCTTCACAGATAGCGTTGGTATTACCCAAAATCAAATGGAGAAGTGCAAATAAATTCACTTCTAACTTATACGTTCAACAATTTTTTTTGTTATACACATTTGTTATCTATCTACTCAAATTTATCTTGTTTAGTTTAATATCTTTCTTTTGGTGATTCTTGCTTTTTATAGGACTGAAGAATGTTACGAATTTACTAGATGCCTATGTATATGTATATGTGTTAACGACATTCCATTTTACACAAGTGACTTTGCTAATTCCAACAAAATAATTTGTAAAAGCTCGTAACAGTTTATAGAGGCACTCAGTGTCATTCTAAGAGTTATATGCTTTATGACTTAGGTTTTTTAAAAAACTAGATATTTATCCGTTGGAATCTTATGATGACATGGTCCAGATGTTTCTATTCTTTATCTGGATTGTCAACACCCGGATAAATTGAACTTTACTTAGGTTGCTCAATCAGATTCTTCTCCTTCGTATGTGCATCGATTAACTACTACTATTAATGTGCACAACAGACGTTCAATTCCAGTTTAATAACACCATATATCGTCAAATCGATGGCATAGCAATTGGAAGTCCACTAGGTCCAATTCTGGCAGATATTTTTATGGGGTATCTTGAAAACATGGTGCTTAAACAGGCGATTAGCGAAACGACGGAATATTCCAGATATGTTGATGACACGTTTACTGTCTGCAACAATAAACAGCATGCAATCCGCCTGCTAGAACTCTTCAATAATGCTCATCCTAACATACAATTTACTATGGAACATGAGCAGAATGACATGTTCCACTTTCTTGATGTTGCTATAAAACGTAGGAGAGACGGGACAGTCCAACGTTCGGTTTATCGAAAAAGTACTTGGAATGGCCTTTACCTGAATTTAAATAGTTTTTGTCCACTGAATTACAAGGCATTAGTTAAAACACTATTTTATAGGGCAAAAAGGATATGTACTACTGACAAACTGGAAGAAGAATTGATGAAAGTGGAAAAATGCCTACGAGACAACTTTTACTCACAAAAGTTTATTGACAAATATAAAAAGCGTAAAGAAAACAATACTGAAGTAATTACGGTCAATAAAAAACCAATAACTATAAATCTTAACTTCAAAGGTGAATATGTTGTAATCACAGTGTTGGCGGCCAAACTTCTAATTCTGTATAAAACAACATTTGAATAACTCAATCAAAGCTTGATAGGCATCCTTTTCATGTTACCGCCAATTGTATTTATAAATTTACGTGTACCTGCCAAAGCAGCTATATTGGCCGAACAGAAAAGAGGGCATATCTTAGATTTTTTGGACATGTTCCAAAAACCCTCAGAACAAGAGACAGAAAGACTCTAAACAGTGCAATCACCAAAAATCTCCTTGATACAGGACATCAGGTCGATACCCTACAAACTCCAGATGTTTGTTGAAGCCGTTGTTATGAGACGCCAAAAACCTGATTTATGTGTTCAAAAGGAGATGGTTATTAATATTTCCTTGCCTTGGTGACTAATATTCCCTCGCTGTATCTTATTTTTTTCTTTTTCTTTAAACTCTTTCTTGCATTTGTTACGTCACTGAGTTTTATTCCAACTATCCTCCAAATTATAAATAAATAGTATATTTGTAATATCCCAATGAGTAGAAAAATTAGATTTTCGGCCGTTTCGTGGCTTAGTGTAAGTCACTTCTTCAGAGAATAAATAACCAAATTAAAATTAATTTTAATTAATATTACAAATATATTAATTTATTTATAACCCAGTGCTCAATTTATTCGAAATTATCAAATCAAACCTTGGTAATGATACCTATATCTTCCAAATTAATAATCTTATTTTATCAACTGAACTCTACTCATTTTGTTCCTATCAAGGTTTATTTGTTTCTAACCGTTTGAACTGTTGTCACAATGTTCTTTCATCACATAAGGTATATATTTACAATATTCAGTCTATTAAATTTATTTACATCCCTGCTATACTATACTAATATGTCTTCAATATAACTTCCAAATAAACCCTCTCATGTAAGTAATTTAAACCCATTATGTAATTATGATTTTAAATATCACAGGTTGTAAGCAGCTGACGAGAACCAACGAAATAAAAATGAATTCATGCTATTCTGCTATAATGTTTGTTCTTGCTCTTTTCAAAATGTTAAAGGGAACTATGTGTATGAAAAGAGATGTATGTTGACTCAGTTAATTCAAATTAAGGTTAAAGTTGTAATAATCATAATAACAGCAAAAATGCAGGAATGAAACAAACACTAGTCTTCCAGCTTTGTATGAAAACCCGACTCAACTGTTCAAAATATTGTTCAAATGATTAGCAACCAAAATTTATCATCACTTAAGTTTATTTTTCCTTTTCTTTTCGAGTTAAACTTCAATCTAATTGTAACCCTATTGAGATTGAACTGTTATATATTATAACAGTTTATTCATTGAAAAAGATTTTGTGCAAACTTTCTATTACGTCCTTGATCTGTCTACCCAATAATACACACAAGATAACTTGTATCAATCTAGATTAAGTCCTTGAACTATAGGCTAACTGGTTAACCCTGAAGCTAGAAATGCGTGAGTCCGAATCGAGACTAACTGCCTTGTACAGAGAGATGGAAACTATTCCATCACTTGATTAATTGACAAGCGCGCGCGAGAGAGAGAGATGAGTCAACTGGAACACCACTCGATTTATTCCCAATCCTGATTCAGGTTAGTCTAAAAAGATATACGAGTACATAGATGACTAAAATGACCACAACGTACAAAAAATTAGAAAAATACAATTATGTTCAAATTGGGCATTAGGGTTGAAAAATTGAGTACCAAAGATTACGTTTAAATTGCAGTAACTTTGGCATGGAACTGGGAATAACTGTGAATTGTGCGTCAAGCGAAAGCTTATGCTTTATAGGATAACTTAGGGACCAAACTAAATGTTAGTATTCTACAAACTTTGAATTAAGTGGAGTAATTTTTCAAAAAACGGCTTTCGTCGTTTTTCATGGCTTCTTTGTCCCTCTGTTCACATTATTTTCCTTTCTCTTCATTAAACAGGATGCTGCTAACATTATTCTCAGTTATGCTAGTTTATTAAGACATGGACTAATACCAAATCTTATAGGAGATGGTTACACTGTTAATCCAAGATACAATTGTCGTGACGCTGTTTGGTACTGGTTATATTCTATCGTTATTTACGAACAATTTATTTCAAGTACTAAAGAATGCTGTCTGGAAGGAGATGATTCTTCTAGTATTTTAAATTGTCCAGTTTATAGATGGTTTCCAGATGATGATACAGTTGGTTGGCCGGATGAATATTTGACCAATTCATTATCTAGTCAACGTATACAACCCTTGCATGAAACAATGCAAGAAGCTTTGCAACGACATATTAATGGTATTGAGTTTATCGAAAGGAACGCTGGGCCAACTTTAGATGAACACATGAAACCGGAAGGATTTAAGGTTAGTTATCGATTGTGGCATATATAGCATCCAAATATCACTTTTGTTTTATATGCTATTGAAGGCAACGATTTAATCATTCATGAATTAATTTATGAATAGGCGATATTAGGAATTGAATTTTTATATTATTTACTAACACTATTAAATTTAAATTCACTCAGTTTAGTATGAACCAGTGGTCGGGTTACGTACCCTGAATACGGCAATGTTTATGGATTAAATGTATTCTATAAAATAGAGCAACTTAAAATATATTCACTGAAAATTTAAGAATCTCGATACATTAGTTTTTATCATTTCATTATAGGTTCAGGCCAATATTGATTTAAATACAGGATTTCCTCGTGGTGGCAACGCTTTTAACTGTGGCACATGGATGGATAAAATGGGCAGTTCATCAAAAGCTGGTAACCAGGGTATACCTGCTACTCCTCGTGATGGTTCCGCAGTCGAATTAGTTGGTTTGGCGTATGCAGTTGTATCGTGGTTAGCAGAATCCCATAATCAAGGTCCAAATTACTCTGGCTATTATCCGCATGCAGGTGTTCAACTGACATCTGGTAAGGAACTTTCATGGAAAGAATGGTCAAATCTGTTGAAAAATTCCTTTGAATCGCACTTTTGGATTCCGGAAAGCACAAAGGACCCTAACTTGCTTTATAATAAAGGAATTTATAGAGATTCTTTTGGTTCGTCTGGAGGATACACAGATAATCAGCTACGCCCCAATTTCCTTATAACTATGGTTGTAGTAAGTTTTAAACTATGCATTTTTACTAATATTATACTTGATTAACTCAGCTTAACACTACATAATATTATGGGTGTAATTGAATAGATCTTGATAAACGAAGAATATCTCTTACTACTATTATACGTAATGACCTTATCAATATTTTTTTCTTAAAAAGTAGTTTTTCTATACATATTTAGGTGTCGTGCTTATGTGAACAGTTAACCAAATAATATAATTGTGACCCTTATTATCATTCCTTTATTTCACTAACATTCTGTCGTTAACTTCAGCTTGGTAAATGCAACCGCTGTTAACCCTATGATTCGGGGATCAATTGTAAAGCATATTAACTGATATTAAGTACTCATCAGTGTTGTATTCTTGAACACTTCACTTGACTGGTTCTCAAATCAAAACACGACTTTGATAGAAACGTAGATATACTACATAGCAAACGACAAGTTAAATCAGTATAGTATGGATATATCAATGGACACTTAAACTCTACACAGGTAATCTCATGTCTTCTCAGCTCATCCAACTGATTAGTTGAGGGTAAACTAATAAATGCTAGCCATCGTGATTTCAGAAACATGTTTAGTCAAGCCCCTATCATGCTATTAATAGAAGTTGCAAGTAGCTGCTTGTTCATGAATATATGTTCACGCTAATATTTGTCGCGCTAAAATCGTGATTTAGCTTGCATTTAGCAACAAATCAGTTACCGAGATACCCTTTTTTGTAATTATTACTGTAACACGAAGGTCAGCTGGACAGTGGTATGACAAAAGTATTAGTTTTTGTAGCATAAAGACTGCGTTGTGATAGATTTGTAATGATGATCGTGTAAGGCTTTGTTATCATTAGGATATTTTTCTTGGACTGTATTAAGCAGTACTAGCTAAAAAAGATGTATCACTTGCTTTATGAGATAACTTCTCTCTTAGTAAGGGTTTGAAAAGAACAAATAAAACTCTTTAAGAAGCTTAATTCATACTGTTTTGGTTGTTTGAATCTTTGCATTGACTTTTAGGACTGCAATTGGTCAGTCTCTTATTGGCATATGTACATCCTTTGCGGATTGTCTTGATATCATCTTAAGTCACAGGCAATATAAGCAGAAATGGATGGCGATTAGCAGTGAAATCCAGGACGCGCGTTGTTGTTCGTCATCGATTTAAATGACATACTGATGTGCATGTTCGTAACTAAAAAGACTGTTCCAGATGTTTTGTGACTAAATAAATATTCATTACTTCAATACTTATACAATACAAGTTCACAAATCACTTTATAATTTCATTTGTCTTTGTGTGCCTGTTGCCATTATTTCCCCTTTTTGTTGAATACAATTTGTTTTGTAATAACACCTACTGGTCGCGTCAGTGTGATGTTGCTGGGTGACAGATCCATTTATTGTAAATGTACCAATAACTAAACGCCTGTAGTTTTAACAAACTGTACTTTTCGTTCTTTCTCAGTCTATTGAAAAATTTTATTTCAAATTGATGAAATTTAACTGAAATTATGAACCGATCACTGTTAGACCACTGTTGAAAACCTGGAAGGCCGCTCCATCCTAATATGGACTACTCAGCAGTGTGGATCCACTACCCCGCACGTGGTAATTGAACCCACGACCTTCGGTTTCACGCGCGAACGCTTAACAGCTAGACCTCAGAGGCGGCATCCTACAATGCTAATGTCTAGCTTCAACCAACCCGCGATATTGCACGACCATCTTCCATCGTCTCCGGTGGGCAACTCTTTCACACCCGCGAGACCTAAGATTCTGGGTTCGATACCTGCATGCGGAGTCTTATGCTAGGATGAAAAGGCCTTCCAGCGCCTCCAGGTTTACCACGGTGGTCAAACATTTTTCGGCTCATGATTTCAGCTAGACTCACCAATATCAACGCCTCCATACTGTTAGCGAAATTCATTGATTCCTGCTGTTTCATCTTATTTTCTTGAGTAAGCTTATCTCTAAACGAAATTATTCTAATAGGCCCCTGAATTATTTACACCCGAACGGGCATGGAATGCATTGGAAATAGCTCAACAACGATTAACTGGTCCATTTGGTATGTGCACTTTGAGTCGAGATGATTTAGCTTATCGAGGATATTATGATAACTCAAATGATAGCTGTGACTTTTCTATAGCTCGTGGTTTTAATTATCACCAAGTAAGTCTTTACTTCATTTCTTTATATGCTAAATTTCCACCTGATGAAATGTCTATCATTTCACACCTTTTTTAGTCATATTCGCATTGCAAATGATTTTTTTATCTTTGTCAATCGTGAAGCCACAACTGTTATTACTAGGTTATAAATGGATCATCACATTTTTTGTTTTTCGTTAATTTTCTTTTTCTTTTAGAGGATATCATTACCTTGATTTCAATATTCTCATTAATCGTTCCTTAGTTATGTCATGCACACATAATACACAATTCATACTAATGTACTTCATTGAAAGTGTTGATCTTCTGGTTTCTTCAAGTATGACAGTAACATTGACTGCGTGGATCGAATAATGACATTATTCTTTGTATGTTAAATAGCTATAAACTTTCATGTCAGGAAGTTAGTAACTTTACGAATAATCTTATATTCTATCGATTTACTGTAGCTTATATGTGCACGTGCATTGAAAAATTAATTATTAACGTCATAGTATACGCACATTCACAGCTATTTCTATTATACATGTATACCAAAAGATTTCACTTTAATTCCATTTTATTCCCGGTGCTGCGGTACGATCTTCATATTAAAGTAATCGGTACGAGTAAAACAATTCGTCATTACAGAGAAATAAAATCTGAATAGTTCACTGTAATTCAAATACACAAAATCAAGATAATTCACAAACCATATTGTTAGGTGTCAGGTGAATAACCGGGAGTTATATCTCAGTAGCTCTAATGCCGAAACAATTTCATTTTATTCTCATTAATCTCTCCACTACAATCAAGAAGGTTAAGGCACAGTTCAATGCACGATAAACATTTCAATCCTTTTCCAGTTGCTACATTTATCGACCAACTGGCGTATCCGGTGTCATACTGGTTTTCTCGACATTACGTAAATGATTATACTACCTAGTAATGAATGAATACCGTTCCCTTATAGTCTGGATCTTACTCCGTACTGGTCAAATCTAACAGCCAGTTAACTATAAAGTTCACTCAGGTTTTATGTCATTTGGCTTTAATTTTTATGCCGATTGTGTGATAATGCATCCTTAAAATACTTATTACTTACTATTTTGGATTTAGGGCCCAGAATGGTTGTGGCCAACTGGGTATTATTTACGCGCTCGTCTTAAATTCGCTTGCATGCTAGGCAAATTCGATCCTAAACAATGGGGTCATCTCATTCTCAACGTAACTACAGAGTGCCAGAAAACATTTGCCAGACTGAATCAGAGAATGGAATCAAGTCAGTGGTGTTCTCTTCCGGAACTGACAAATGCAAATGGTCAGGTAAGATTTTTGAAATCCCTATTTATATGTGAACAACATATGTATATTTCTCACTGTATTAGGTTCGATTCCTCATAGTTACGTAGCAAAGAAATAGATCGACCTCTATGTCTGACCATAGTTGTGTTAACTAGTGAGTCGTTAGCAACGTGAAACCTTGGACGTAAATGACAATTTGCCAACCACATCAGCACAACTAGATTAAACTATTCTAATGAATACTGAGGCAGTATTAGTAGTAGTCGCAGTAGATCTCAGTTCAGTTCATGAACCTCATGGTTGTTATATATTGTGTTGCGTTTTGTTTGCGAGAATGGTAATGTTATAAGCTAGTGCCGATTTCTCCTGATTATTAGTAAGGTGATGTAGCATCGTAGTATATTGGGAAGATATGATACTTCACTATATATTGTGATACTGTAGAATGCACGAAACTCAAAGTATATGTGGTTTAATTTCGCAGTGTATGTTTACTAATCCATAGGGTTCGATTTAGTTTCAACTTTTCAGAAAAGTGATCATTAATCTAAATGGAGGGATTTTTTCTAATAAATTTTGAGAACTGTTATCGAAACAAGAATGATTGGCAACGTTTTTTATTCCACAATTCTTTTATATCAGTCATCGACTTGAGGTGTTTCTGATACCTGGCAAATATAACTCAGTAACAAAAAGAATTATTGAGGCCATAAGCATTTTTCAAACGATACCAGTACTTTCTACACTTCATTTCATCTTTTGATGATGTGACAGTAAAAGACTTTTTAGGTATCATTACGAAGCTTTGATTTGATAATTCCAAATAAATTGAGCATTGAGTAGAATGTTATAAACAAATTAATATATTTGGTTATTTATCCTCTGAAGAAGTGGCTTACACTGAGTCACGAAACGTCAGAAAATCTGATTTTTCTACTCATTGGGATATTACAAATATATTAATTTATTTAATAAAAGACTTTGTTTATATAATTAACACGGTGATAAAATCAACAATAGTTTTCGCAAGTTATGGCGAACAGTTCTCTAGAGTGTTCCATGGACTATAACTGTAAAGAATGTGATGACATTGATAATTTACGTACATCCCGGTTATTTTAATAGTTTACACTATCTATTATAACGTAGGATCATGAATATTAGTAATACACCAAATATATATGAAACTTTAAAAAGGATTACTGTGACAATTTCGTGGAATAGCGCGAACTTAGCGTAAATTCTGAAAACGACCAATAACAAATTATTTCCACGTAAAATAGCATGAAATATTTTCCAATTTTTATAGACTAGTACTGAGTAGATAAATTAAAATATTTTTTTTTCGATTTTCAGCTTTGTAAAGATAGTTGTGAAGCTCAAGCGTGGAGTGTGGGTTGTATTTTAGAAGCTCTGTATGAACTTATTTTCACACAGAACAAATGAGGTCCTCCAAATTTTAGAACCACGTTAGTTATCTTAATACGTTTATTTTAACACTAGTTCAGCAAACCCTTACCTATAAAATGTTATCTTAATTTTGGAATATTTATCATAATTTGAATGACAGTGTTTAATTTTGCCTTTATATTTTAAACTTTTACAAGGTTTTCCTCATTGTAGTTACACTTAACAGTCAATTAGTACATTATTCATCATGCAACCTAGATAAATAAATAAAACCCTATCCTAACCTTTCTCGTAAATTCTTTTTCCAGTGTTTATTGTTGTCTGGGTGCAAATAAAGTGATATCTAAGTGAATTACAAACTAACCCAACTGAAACACTTGATTAAGCTTCATGGATTTTGAGGTTCAAGATTACATACTTGCGACTGTTAACCCTCGCAGAACATACGAAGAGTTTTGAACAGACATCAAACGTAATTAAAAACTTATTAAACACCGCACTTGGCATGGAAGATAGGACTCTGTTCCGTGAACAAAATGAACGAATTGTGTAGATACCAGCCTGTAATATATTTTACGCTGAAAAATCCTATCGTATATTTCTGACTCATAATACTGAACATGTAAGCTACACGAGAAACTCCCTGTCACTGTTGAAGAATTTTAAAACCCATAAATCAAATTCGCTGTAGTTATCATGCTTTCTCGAATACTTGTCATTATAACAATGGTAAGAATATCCAAGCTATTCATACTTGTCATTCCTCGACCCCATTAGATTCTTTTCAACAATCACACCGATATCGAATTTCTCACTGTAATGTATACCATTTCCACTCCTTTTTCTGTTCAATCTATCGACTTAATCCTATAGGCCTGTTGTCTGACTCGATTATTATTGAATAATGACGTTAATAAAATACACATCCCGCTTGGCCCCGTACATATTTTCGTCAGTGCATGACGAAATAAAGTAGGCCAAATACGAGAATGAGTTTTCGATACATATATCTCATTCATCTGCAAACGCAGACAGACAGATAAGAGAGAAACTGATCGAAGAAGGCAAACGTGGCATATCAATTTAATGAGGCGTGACTCAATATTTATAGTCAGACAGAAAAACCGACTAAATACATTTAACGAAGAGAGTGAGTGGTAGACCCACACTCATTTACTTAAGCCTGTTACCCCTGGTACAACATAGGCCCCAGTCAAGATGGTCCAACCGACTATGTTTCCATCTCTTCCAGAGCTTTTCATTCAGGCGTGATTTGGTTGATGCTCGTTGTGTTGCATTTCGGGATATTGCTTTCTCCCTTGCGTATATTGAGGCCTACTGTTGCAGACGCTGCTGCTACTCTGGCTAACTTTACCAGTATTTGTTGCTGTGTACAGCATGGGAGGGATAAGGTCGCTCGCAAAGTCCAAATTGTCTAGCTGCATCCGTGCTATGCACTGCATTTCGTGCTTCCCCTGAGATGTACAGGGGTCATCAAAAGAAAGAGAAAGGACGGAAGTAAGCAGACTCGTCTGACAATAGTGCTCGCCTGGAAGACATTTGTGAGCTGGCCTACATGCACGACCTTGCAGTGTAGCATGTCGTAAGAATTCCGTATGATAATGACATTCTTCCTAGGTGCTCCATAGTATCGAGGACGGTTCTACTGGGTCCTCATATCTATGCTGTCAAATGCTTCCTCGTAGTCAAGGAAGCTGATGTATGGTGACCAGTTCCATTCAACTGACTGCTCAACAATCATGCGTAGTGTGGCGGTTCGGTCTGCACACGGCCGATCCTTACAAAACCCCGCCTCTTCATTTCGAAGTTGGGCGTCTACTGAATCCTTCATTCGGTTCAACAACACTATTGAAAAGCTTTACTCGTACTAATAATAGTGCGATGCCTCTGTAGTTCTCACAATTGCTGAGATCTCTTTTCTTAGGTATCTCGATGAGGTGTCCATCTTTTCATTCTGTTAGTACTTGCTCTCTCTATCAAATCTTTTTGAAGAGAATGTGAAGCATCATTGCAATTACTTCCATGTCTGACTTTAGTGCTTATGTTGGTATGCTGTCTGGTCCTGCTGCCTTATCACTATTGAATTTTTTATGGAAATGCAAACTTATTTGATTGTTGGTGTGGTAACATCTATGGGAAGGTCTGTGTGTTGCCTCAAAGTTGTTTGGGTTCAGTGGGGCTTTTCTACTCAAAAGCTTTTCAAAGTGTTCTACACGCATGTATCCGTTGCCGTTCAATCTGTGATTGGTATACCATCTTTATTGACTAGTCGCTTTAGGTTATTATATTTTCCTGATTGCTAGGCTGAGTATATTATTTAGTTACACTATCATGGTCAGTTTATTGACCTCACATCGTTGCGTGTTACAAAATAACATGAACATCTAGCTACCCTTATTTACATAGCCAGAAATTATTGTCTTTAATTTTGACCATCCATGTTTCTAGCCGCCTATGATTCAATTAGCAACGATATAATGTATCTTAACCGGATCGTATGGCTTAGGTTTTATTCTACAAATACGTCGGATAATTAGAAAACGGCTTGATATGTTGATAATCCGGTATCGCATCAGCAGACTTCGGTCATTAATGGAGCATTATCTAGAATCCCGCTCAAGACCGATTATTCGAAACATAGGCATACTTTCTCGCATAATTTGACTCAGATACTGAATATATATTATATCCCTTCGTCATTTTAAAGATCTTGTACCTGAAATGTCCACTCGGTGAGTAATGAAGTTTTTTATGGAAAGGGAGTAAATGCTTGAATGAATGTGGATCACTTACAGTGCTTTACAACATTAAGCAGCTTTTTTATTTGTAATGATGGTAAAATATTATGAAGAGGCCGCTAGGCATAACTATTATGCACTCAGTAACCACAATGAAATCTTATTGTCACAATTTCATTACACAGAACTAACTCTAAAAAAGATACAGGATACATTTGACCTTTAATAATTGTATTCAGACGATTTGTCAATGTACATTACGTGAGTATAGTCGGTTTCTGTTTTTATAAGCTACGAAGGCATCAACTAAGACTTGATAAGTATCTCGCTGAGGTTGGATAGAAGTCCAGAGACAATTTGCATTTTCAAATGAGGAATGTCAAGTATGCTAGTACCAATAAAAATGAGTGGTGAATATTTTGTACTACTGTTGACATAATATGAAGTTGTGATGAAACATCTTATTGTCAAATGATATCTAAAGCGATATCCTGATTTACATTTTTGGAATTAAAATAATTTATATTTTCCTCAAGGTTTCAAAATACCTTCGGCAAATTCTAAAGAAATTGTAGTTACTCCTTTTACCAGAGTTTGATATTTGTCGAACAATTGTTTGGTTAATTCGTCTTATCTTCAAGTATTGAGCCTTAATACTACTCCACACTTTTTATAGTTTGAAGTTGTCCTTCTCGAAATGATTTCTCCAATGTTTAGTTTTCTACTTTATTATTGATGTAATCATGTCAAGTCTTTCGCTATTTATCTTGTTAAATTTAGTGTAATATGGTAATGCTTGCCCTTCACTAAGTTGTCTCCATCCATGATATGGATTTCATTTTTAAACAAATGAAATGGGTTATTGTGGTTAATTTTAATTCACCTAGTTTCTCAAAGAGCTCAGTATCAAGATTATTGGAGGTATGAGAGACAAGTAAATTAGCCTAGGGTGTAATTAGTAACCTCAGACATGACCTTACGAAGTAACAACGTTGACCTGCATTTGACCATAGGTGAAAACATAATTGAGTTTTTCGGACATACACATTGATAAACAAGCCAGATGGTACAAAAATCAAATTAGCACCAATTTACAATGGATGTTTGAATGTTAATTTTTCAACAGGTATGTTGTAGTCTTATTAGATTGCAGAACAAAATGAATGCGGCATCATACAATGGTACGAAATACCTAAAATTTGGACAACAAAGCTATTAGTTCTGCAAAATGGTTGGATAACGAAGTAGAATACAAGGACATGTTGCGGAAGTTTCTTCTGTGATCGATTTCTTTTTCCTTAACTTTTTCATTGGTCCAATTTAATAGGGGGTAAAGTAATAACTACCACGTCGCCTGAAAGCATGGAAGAGAAGACAAGCCTTAGACTCTCAAGAAAATAATGATGAATTTTACTAGTGCTTGCGATACTTACCGATATCGTGGGAATCGCATTCGGCCAGCATATGCTGGACGGAAACCAATAGACATCCCTCTGCCGCGCGCGCGACCTCTCACGAAAGGGGGACGATTTGTCATGGACATTCCTGGAACATTTGTACGCTTAGGTAGGACTTTCAACTGTCGACTTCGAAAAGATGAGTCATCCAGAGCGATTGCAGCTTCAACAGCATCACGAGTATCGAATTCAATATATGCGAATCCTTTAGGGTGTCCAGTAAATTTATTGCATAATATAGTAACACGGTTTATCGGCCCGCAACCACGGAAATGTGCTTCTAGTTCATCGGCCGTAGAACCATAATCAACCTAACTGTTAACTGGGATACCATACTGACTTACATTTCCAACATATACAGAACGCAAGTCAACTTCAGTTTTATCTTCATCTGACAAATTTGAGTTATTGGATTCTGCAGCAGAAAATAAAATTCGAAATGCTAAAATGAAGTCAAATCAGTGTGTACAATACAGAAAACTTGGGTAGCCTAAGCGCGTTAGTTTTTACACCGACTTTAGGAGGAAATAGTTTAGTAAGAACGTCACGTAAAGTATATCGAACAGCGAAAACGGATATCTTGCAGATAACTTTAGAAAGTAATTTTCAACGTGTGTGACATGAAAAACGGCTGGAAAGTATTGTTTTAGCTATTTTGTGTATATAGACTAATTATTATGTAGACATGAGACAAGTGACCATTTAAATTCATGAGAGATTAAAATGAGTCGGATTCGCTAGACCAGTGGTCAGGCGATATAGAGATAATTTTTTTCAACACAGATATTGGTACAAGGAGGCATCATATACATATACGCCACACAAATTTCATTCGATATGTATGAGGGCTGTGATACTGCCCGGGTGCCCAAACCGAAGCAGGTGGTTTACTTAGGGGGCCACACCCCGAGCCTTCGACCTAAAAATCTGATCCACATGGCAGTGGAGCATCGTAAGGAGATGCAGTCGCCATCCATGCTGTAAAAATTTCATATTGGTGATTTCCACGTTGTGATTATATACCGACACTAGGTGTGGTTGACAGAAATGTGCAGGTGGTCATTATAAATCAGCCACGACATGAAAGAGCTATACAGGGTTGGAACTTTTTAGTTGACCATGACGTCTAGTTAAGGATCCCAAGAACTGTGAAAAAGTCGGTCATAATAGAAGGCAGTTGCGATCCTACCGCAGTTTTCTACTGCATTTCATAAATGATGAGGTCCCTTGCGTGAAAGTACTTATTGACTATCTCTAATTGAGATCTGCACTTTTGCCAAATGCCATCTGTTTAATTATTTGTTGCTTTACTACCTACCTTTCTCAAATTCTTTACAGTATAATCGGTTCGTTCTTGATGTTCGCATGTACCAAGATATGATGGGATATGTACTCAGAGCTTTCGGTTTGAAGCCAATGATCTTAAATCTTGTTTAAGCCATCGCGGTTCGGAAGGCGAATCGCCACAACCAACTACGTGTGATCGGCCGGTAATCTGCATAAACCAGTCCTAGAACTATGCTCAATATTACGTGCCCGGTTTTCAGTTACGATATGATGACAGGCAGCAGAATCATATAGACATATGCTCAAATCTGACCAACGACGAGTGATGACACGTGTATGATGTCGTAAAGCAGGACAAATGGATTAGAATGTGGTCACTGGTAAAAAAGAAACTGTTTTGATAGAACGAAATGGTGTTAGTGATTGAAGAATATGTGAGTTTTCAATGATACAAACATACATTGAAACAATTTATACAAGCATTGGGGGGCGAAGACAAAATTAAATGCTGGGCAAACATGAAGCAGTACCAAATTAACAGAAGCAGAAAAGATTGTTAAACAACACGCGCCTCCAAACCGTAATTCTACGACTAATAACTTCGTAACAATTGAGGTGAAAACGCTATTTGACAACAGAACTTGTACATAAACGAGGGGATGGTATGACTCAGAGCTAAGTACAGGGGTCTTTTCGCGGTACAAAATTAACAACATACAAATAGCCAAAAACTTACTTGAGATTGGAGACTTGTCGATAACGCGGCGCAAGTCATGTAATTTATTTGCATCTGCTTCAATTTCTTTGAAGCGTTCTTTGATAGCCTCTAACTCCTATAGCAACATAAACTTTTGTAGTACTATTTACAGCATCGAAATGCATTTCGTCGGTCACGCTGACGTCCTCCTTCCCGTTTTCATCTCCGAACTCATCTTCATGAACATCGTGATCTCCATCCAAGACATAATCGCTCATCCTTTTAGCCCGCTTAAGGCCACGGCCCAAAACAACTTAAACAATATTGGCCTATTGAACTTACAGCTCTAAATCATGTACTTTCTTCATTTCACCATATGTTTAAATCCCGTCTGGGATTTTCTTTAAGTTTGGGTGTTAAATAGCAATGTCATGTTATATATTATTTAAAGATTTGTATCAACTCTGAAATGTTCGTCATGGAAGAAGTAACAAGTACGTGTTCCTGAATTATACCAGGTTTTTATTTATGCGAAAAATTTCATCGATTCATCCGAAAGGCTGAACATACCAAGTTTGCTGTTTAATATCAAATCAGTAATGGATAAGCTTGTTGTTCACATTGAATTATATTTATTAAGGAGTTTCTTAATGATTCAGCTTAAAATCCACTAATACACGAAAAGTAAAGTTTGGGGTTTTCGTTTGTATGCTAAGTGTTATCGACGTCTTTCGGGATTATTATTCCACCACAGCGGGTTAAATTTAGGCTGTTTAACGTCGATGTTTGTTACATATATGCCTAGTATTCACACTTTATAGCGAGTAATTCAATAGATTATTGATAGGTCGGCTAAATCTTTGGGATGTATGAGCCTAGTTTGGTCATGTTTATATAAATAATTAAAATACACTGCTAATTGAGCTTACTTGCAAGCACTGTTGAACTTTTGGTTAGATCTTTACGCCTACACACTGAACACCAACTTTGTCTGATGTATCATGCAAATGAATATGATTACCTAATAGATGTCTGCTGAATTCAAGCTAGTGATGCTTTGAAGCAAATAAATGTAGACGTCCTTATGGAACATTATTCACTCTTGACTGCCCTCTATATCTTGAAAATGACGTTTGAATTGTCATAAACTTGTAGTTTATTCTATCGGTTCAAATAATAGCCAGTGGTGTCCATGAGAGATGCAGATAATGAATTTGGAGTTTTCAAGATCAGGGTTTTCTTATCATGTCAGTTCTTCCGAATGGCATCTAGATTCACTGATCGAATCGAAAACAAAGACTTATTAGGTTGTGAGTGAGCAATTTTTTTAACTGACGTTCCTATTAATTTACCAGTTCTTGTTTAGCAATAATTGTGAATGTGGCAGCTGAATCGTCAAAATATCTATTAAAAGTTGTGGCGATAACAAGGGGTTTAAATGCTGGTTAATTATTACAAATTAATGTGATAGAAAGATCAGACGTTTGATGATCGATTTAATCATTGCTTACACTTCGTACTATAATCCCAGATGGATAAAAGTATGAACCGTTGTTCAGAAAACCGCAGAATAAATAATATTATTTTCTACCAGTTAGTTTAGCTTGATTACTATTAGTTTCTTTGTCATTTGATTGAGTAAATACAGGAAGTGTAGGATCACCTTCTTGAAAATACTTGGAAAATATTTGTAAATATTTGGGAAAGGCAAATAACTATATTGAAATGTCTGTGAATTGTGCTGACAGTTGCTATTGCAGAATAAACTTAATGGATCCCAAACGTTTCATCAATTGAGGAAATTCTAATCAGTTAATTCAATCTTTCCAGTGTTCACGTGATATCTCTAATGAGTTACTTTTCCTTTCACAGTAACGTAAATTATGTTGATGTTGGGTTTGCCATTCCACTGAGATAACTCATAACATGCTAACTCAGGCTTTAACGTTATGATCTAATAATTGACAACAGATGAAAAAATGGGAATTACAAAAAATAACGGATACGGTCGCCAGCGTTTCTTGACAGTTTACTCTCTTTTGATGCACTTTCGAATTTAACAAACAGCTTTTTTGATTCTGACTTCAACTATCTCTCCATCATGCGAACACATTCTAACTTACCACACATCTTTATTACTGTATTCTCCTAGCTGAAGACGCCTTGACTCAAATTTATTATAGTAACAGTGGCTAGAATGATTTTTAGCCACTAATTTACAATACCTTGTCTGTTTCACTTCAAACTGTTGAGCACTGTTGGGTGTTTATGTCCAAATGCCTTGTTTCTCCTTTGTTTTCCTATTTAGGCGCCACGTTCCTAGTGCCCAGCTAGCGAGCTTCTTACGCCTTAGGCAAACTTAACGTACGGATGTTCCAAGGCAGCAACTCATAACATCTCGCCTTATATTTTTATTTAATAGCAACTGTAGACTTCAAAAACATCTGTATTGTGTAAATATTTAGCAGCGCCACAAAAATGCTGAATTTGGATCATCTGTGAGTTTTACAAGGCAACATCGTGAACGGGATGCCATCTTTTGAACAAATCACAAAAATTACACTCACAGCACTACACTAATGCATGAGCTTACTTGTTCACTCGGTTATAAGTCTGCACGAATTTACTCTCATTTATTTTGACTCATGTAATCCTTTTGACAACTTAACTTGGGAAGCATTTTATCCGTAAATCAATGTTATAAGTTATTGATCATGCCTGTAAAACATGTGTGCCTGCTGTCGAAAATATGTAATGTTTATCAATTTATCGCTAGACGTTCCTTGTCATAATTACCAGCCGAAATAATCGGTACCTAGACAGCACGGGCACTGGAGCAAGCCAGGGGTTTTCGCGCACATGTTGTGTATTGTCGTGGATCTTTTGTGTCGTTATTTATCAGCTATTAACAGCCTTTTTCCCATCACACGTCAATTTTCGTAATGTTTGTGCTTGTTACATAGTTTTTATTCTGATTTATTAGCAGTTTGACGTATTTGTTGCTCACCGCCTAAGTGAATCTTTAGTAAGCCCGATATACAAACTCAAGCAAGTAAAGTTCACCATTTTTCAAGTTTAAAAATATATCACAAATTGAGTTTTCGGGAAATAAGCTCTAAAACCTATAACATCTGGTCCACCTCCTTGATTATGGGGATGATGAACATGGATATTGGTAGTTGTTTATAAAATGTAAGTAGAAGCAATTAAGCATTAATCTATTCGGCGGCCTGCTTGAGTATCTGGGCTACCTGTTCTTGCCATCTAGATATTTCAACAAGTTATCTATTTTTGTTTGTTTTAATATATCATTATGTTTATTAATCGCACAACCTATTCTGCTGCGTTTCTGAAAAGTGTACAACCTTTCGTTGTCAAAGTTACAAACAACTCAATAAGAGACAATGTGGTTGCTGGCAATATACAACGAAAAGAATGTACATTATTCAGATGTTCATTTAGTGAACTGCTAACATCTAACTGGCGATCACTCAATATTTATCGCCAGGACCGACGAAGAAGAAAGAAACGGAAACTTGTTGAAATACTTTACGCTGAGAATTCTGTATTGTACCAAAAATATAATATTGAATAAAGCTGATAATAATAATAATAATATAACTTGTTAATATTTAGCCATAAGCAGTTATATCCGTTATAAGTATCACCGTTTTGTACTGAAGTGACGTATTATTATGTAACGTATCTGAGAATTATGTGAGTAACAATTGACGTATACAGGAACAGTGTATAACACCACTGGAAGTGCCACATTAAGTAGTCACAAAGTCTTCATGAGTAAAACGATAAGTGTTTCTTTTGAGCATGGCGACAAAAGCATGTCGTAGTTAATACTGATTTATGATGTGTCTTTTACAGGGTTTACGTACAAATTTCCGTAAACAGAATCCACAATCACTGACCAAATTATGAACAAAGTTATCATGCATATTGTCGAGTAATATCTAAATGGTGCTTACCAATTTTTTTGTTATTACCAAATGTCTAGGTGAAATACTAGAAGGGTTAGGAAATAAAGCGCGCTGTTTACATGAATTAAGAAATTTATGGGTTATTTTTAATCTGATAGTGAAGTCATAAATACACTGAAATCAGAGTTTTAAGGCAAAATGAGCTGTGAAACCATTAACATTTCATTTACATCACAAACTTGTTATAAACAAATGTCATTAGACTGTTATGCATTCACAGTTATATGATGGGGATTTGAAGCTCCCAGTCCTTGATACAACACAACCTTAGAATCAAATAACAACTACCTGACGAAAAGTGAACGAGCAATCAAAGCTAAATCACAAATTTATAGCACTCATATCTCCTTTGTGCCACATTAATCAGTCACATTTTCATCATAGGTTGAACGATGCCTGTATGTTGTGATCATAGTAACTAGAGCAATTTGCAAATAACACTAATTTGTAATATGTCTTTTCTAAAGATTACCAATGAATTCGAAATCTCTAATGAATAGCACTGTTTACAAATAAGAGAATTATAGGTACATTCTGTTACCTGCTATTTGATTAACTTATTGAATTCGACACTGATAGCAAGTTTAATTGTTTGTCTCAAGACTGATTTGTTGTTTTCCAGAACAGTATGAAGCATATGGAATTTATGAAAGATCGTGTGGAAAACCGGTTTACAAGTTTGCGATAACTGTTTTATATTGCCTACTGCCATGTTCATTCATCCAATGATTATTTAAATATAAATATAACAACCATACTCAGCGTTTTACATTATAAATCCTGTATGTATAATTATAGTCTAAATAAAGCCAAAACAAATATTGATGCAGAATAATGTAACTGCATTATATTTCATGGTTTCTCGCAAGCTGCATACAACCAAATATGTATTATAATTTAACACTGAGGTAAGAAATAGTATGAAACAAGTGACATAATAGAAAGCAAAGAATTGGAATGAACTAGGTTATCAATAATAACTATATATGCTTCAACAGCTCAGAGGTTATATGGTGTTAGACTTAAGGAAACACTAAGGATCGGTGGTATAGTAGTCGAGTGGAGTTCAGAAGCAGATAAGATAAATTATGTGATAATTCTAGATGTAATGACTGAATCATTGAATTAAAAACCAAGAAGATAATTGAATAAAGTTCGAAGAATTCAAGTAATTTACGAAGATAAAGTTAGCAAGTAAGTGTGAGTGGAAGGGCGGTTTAAGGATTGCGTAACACATCTTATCAGGGAACTAACTGTATGAAATTGTCTAGTTCGGTACCAATACT